CTTATGATCCATTTGGCGATCACGTTGTCGCCATACCTCCCAATCATGCGATTGTGCTTCAACATCATCCGACGCTTGAAGCGCCGGTACACCATGAACAAATAGCGACCTTTCGTTGTTCCGATGGTGGCAGTCATCTGAGTTCTGTTTTCTTCGTTGGCGCGTTTGGCACAATCCGAATGTTGCATGAGTCAGTCCGAAGACGGGTCACTGCACACGAAGCGCCTCAATATAGTTTGCTGATTGCAGCGTCACACGTAACAACCGTGATTCCCTGTAATGGATCGAATTTGGGTACCGTACCATGCTAGCGGGCTTAGCTTAGGCGTCTATTAGTAGACATATGGAATCCCACTGTTTTCGGTCGTTCAACATCCTATCTGTTATGGTGTTCGCGTTAAATTAAGGAACACTGAAGGGTACGATCGTCAGCGGCTCCTGGGCTCGTTTTGAAGTAACCGGTTTGTGAAGCTGTGTGATTTATATTTTCGGGGGATTGATGGAACTAGGTGTGGCACCTTTAGCACACTGTGTGATCGCAGAGGCTGTAGCCATAGATTTTACTCTTGGTGCTTGGGCGGCTGCCATGGGCGCATATGTAATCACGCCTACAGCTGCAGCCAATGTGTTCACTTGTGCCGGTATAGCATGCTCCACAGAGTTGTTCTCCTGCAATATCGACTGGGCCATGAAGGCAGTCACCCTAATAGATGGAAGTAGGTTGTCTGTCTGGTTTGGGATTTGGGTTATATGTGTATTCAGCTACACGGTTGAACCGTTACCTGTGGTTCGACCACTATATTCTGCTGTGGAACCTTGGGTATCGAGCTCGGCTGTGCTTGCATCCGAAGGGATAGCACTGAGTAAAATTAGAATCCTCGACCATCACCACTAGCAAATCGTATTTCTGCGGAAAAAATAGCTATGTAGGTAATGAGTGGAACGACCATACAATCAGTGCAGATCTAAAAGGAGCTTGTTGGTTGGCCTTCATCGCCATTGCATTTAAAGAAGCACGCTTTGCGTAATAAGAGTAAAGGCTGTTCAGCGTAGCCTCGCCATTCTTCATCACAAGCTTGACTTTATTGCTTGTCATGTTTCTGTGAGTCTATGCACCGCTTCTACCGGTCAATACCGTAATCACAAAACTGAAAAAGATAGACAAAACGGTGTGTGAAAATATTGTCCTATAAATTGGCTATTTCGTGGACATTGTACTTATAATGCGCCTTCATTTCATGATTTTAGAAAGCTCTATGTCTATTGTGTAGACATTTGCTGATATATATATATATATATATATATATATATATATATATATACAACCGATGGGGTGTAGTCCATCGACATCAAGCGCATGATCCTGTAGCATAGGTGGTTCTAAGTGCTTGAGTCCTGCATGCTTAGTGAGCCATTAGCGAGGTCACTCGGGACCACCACTGAAGCGATAACGGGTCCTGCAGAGAATGTAGGCAGAACGGGCGCAGTGTTTGTAGGTACGCTGCATTCGATTTACTAACCACTTGCTTACATGCTAAGTCTCTGTATTTCAGGTGGCGGGTTTTCAATTTTGTCCTAACGCTTTTCTTTCTCATATAAATGTCCATCTGGACTCTTCTATAAATTTGCACACGTTGCTTAAGCCCAATTGTATTTACTTAGAAAACATTTTCGTGTTTGTGGCATTCCGTGACCTCGTGCACTTAGCTAGGATTTGTTTGTAAACAACTTATTACATATGCTATTTAATTAAGGTTTATATCACCGTTTCCTTTGCATTAACTGAGGTTTTCTCTTTTTCTGTCTCTTTCTCTCTCTCTCTCTCTCAAGTGTTTGGCTGTTGTTTGATATCCCCGGTGTGACTGCGCTTGATGTGCATGTTGACAATGTGCCTACCTGTCTAGTACCCGCTACCTCGTCCATACTGGCTCCAGGAGACAGTTGGTCGTTGCTGGAGGGGACGGGGTGCACGGTCTTTGTGGCCATGTTAGGATCAAAGAGTGGTTCCATGCAGTCAGTGTGGAGCGGACTACGGTCCAGCCACCACCTTGTGTGCGTTTGATTCCCAAATAGAGTGTGCTTGTGTTTGCCTGTGAAGGAGTGTGGGCCGGCTCCGTTGATGAAACGTGGTTCCCATCCGCAAGCCTTCTGGTCTTATTCCATCGGATTTACACTGGATATGGGGTGTGTGGATGGAGCTGTGGGTGGTGCAGCGCAAGCCATCCATGGTCCCTCTGTAGGCGCAGGCGTCCTGTGGCTTGCCACAGTGACAGGCAAATCCGAAACCGGATGCCGCCAACCATATATATATATATTTATTTGAAGCGAGTTGATCGTTTCGGCATTCCAACTAGTTGTACTGTATTTTCAGCTTCAAAGGATGAGCTCTCACCTGGGTGTTGTGGTTCAGTTCCAGCAGCCTGTAGCAAATGTGGTATTGGTTCTACAGCATCTGAGGCGTTTCGCAAGCGAGAGGAGCCTAAGAGTTGAGCACATCAGTTGTACTTCGTTTCACTATACAATATCGTACTGGCGCGACTGCGACAGTGGAATTACTACTACTCGAAGTGGAGCATTACGGTGTTTCAATCTTCCATCATCTCACTCCACAACGCAATTCGCCATTGCTTAGACGCATCAGGTGGAGAAACTCTGAGTTGAGAGTGAAACCCGGTACATAGTTCCTGGTTTGTACCGCCATGATAACCAGAGCATGGAGATCCACAGGCCAGACCACGTATTCGTGAGTCTGATGGACCACATTTGTTTACGACAACCCACTTGTGTAATCACCGTTTCTCTGCATGGTTGACGACACCCAATGTGTTATGTTTTACCGTCCAGACCATGTTCCATTTTGATGACTAGACTAGATAGAACAAAATCCATGATGCTCGATGGCGCGCGTTAAACTACTAAAGTAACTTCAGGACCATCGTCAGCTGATCGGAGGGTACGGCGAATCGGACCGATTGGAAACAAAATGAAGCAACGAAATTACAGGTTCCGAATAATTCGTCGAATATTGTTGTTTGAAGCGAAATGGTCGAGTCGTCTCGTCACAGCATTTACGATAGATATAAATGCAGTAGCATGAAAAGTTGCTTATTTGGAAATACACAACCTATCACCCAAATGCAGAGTGCTGACAAACCAGCAGTAGACAGAAAAACAATCTGATTGCGGTTGCAAACGAATCAAACATTACAGTGATTTCGTACTGTTGGATAGATGTGAATCGAATGCTCTGCTTTGGTCTCAATGACTCCCGAAAATTTTCGTTGTGACTAGTACAAAGTTAGGACGCACCACGCTGCACTTCGGCAAAATCAACAACCGAGTCTGTATTCAGGTTTGACTTACTTGGTGGCCACAACTTGGCAAGTTCATTGTCGAACCACGAAGAGTCCAGGGTTATGAAGTGCGTCAGATTTGCACGGCCCATAACTGCATACCAAGTGACGAGTAAAGTAACTCACGTCAAATCGCTACGACGCACAGCGACTCACCAGTACCAAGTGTAGATAGTCACTTGTCAGGTAAACAAAGGATTGAATATTAGTTCGAAGCCGGCATCAGACATGCAAATCAAACTACGGGGAGCTAGAGATAATCGCAGCACAGTGTTACTGCAAGGTTGATTGATCATCTCACAAATTGCCTTGACGGACCGTGAGACATAAAACCCGATGTAGAAGGGTCCACATGCGCTCACCAAGTTGGGGCGGATACGAGCCAACTGCACTTTAAATCCGTTAGCCACACTTTACACGTGCAACAGTCAGCAAAATACATGCCACCGCCGCATTTCAATGGGTCGAATAAACTGGAGACCGTTAATATAGCTGGAGGTGCGCAGCATTGCCTATCCGTATCTCACACACTCAACATACTGATCAAGCGAACCTTACTAGCTGTCGAATAGAGCCAATTGGTATATAAGCCTTTTCTAATACAGTGAACAATGCTAGAGCACAGAATTAAAACAGAATATGCATCTTCTTCGAGGCTTAGAAACTTTTCGGTCACCGCTCATAGAAGATGTGACGAAAACGACGAACTGGCGTGAGAGTCACACTTAGTTGTTGCCCAAAATGATACGCAGTAAACGAGAATTCAGTGATGGCAAAGGGCATTATCCACGGGTGACTTGAGCACGGATAGAAGAAGTTGCAATTTAAAGTAAGATGGTGCCATAATGCTAGATACGCAACGGAGCGTGAACAGATAAGGAGGTAACCGGTGGGGAAAAGGGCAAAATGCCATGACGGTGGCGGCGATGTGTTAAGAAGTTTGGAAAACTGGATAGCAATATTCCTGCTCTAATTTATCTACGGTGCACAAGCGACCCATTAGGAATCCCCATGGGAACACACATGCACACAAGGACACAGTCATGAATTCATCAGTGTTGGCGACATTGTCTCGATTGAAGAGCAATAACAACACTCATACACTCAGAGACACAGGTATCAAATAGAGAACCTGGTTTCGATGGGGCTGTATACAAGCAAAAAGGAAACGGATCGGGGAGGGTATGAGAAATAACAAAAGGAAGACGATCAGAGCGATGAAAAAACAATGCGAAAAGAGTGTGTCGATCATCAGAGGAAGAGTGTATAGGCAAGTTTGCCTCAAGTCAAACGAGGCCAAACATGTACACATTGCATTGCGGCGAATCCGACAAGTGTCCGAGTAATAACAAAAGGCATAGGCGGGCGGGAGGAAGGAGAAATGGAGCTGGAGCGTAGTCATGGAGTGGACGAAATGAACCGCTATGCTAAAGGCGAATGAATCGATGATTGGAGGAAGAAATGTACACTGGGGGAGGCACAAAGCCCACAAAATGTGTGAAGGCTAGGGAAAAAGCAGAAAATTGGAAGTGGTACATTTACATCAATTGCTACAGAGGGCAGAAAAGAATCTGGACGATAGAGTTCAACTCGGTAGAAGTGTTTGTGGTCGATGCAAGTTCCTGCTGAGCACAGAACGGACATCGTTCACGAATCGAAGCGCATCCAGCACTGGTAAAAGGCATAGGAGGGCGGTGTCGTGGGCATCAGAAAACCAGGAGCGAATAGGTATGGCGTTATCTGATCGTGAGACGGGGGAGAGGAATAAAACAATATGGTGGGGGGGGAGGAATTTGCTTCATCCGTGAGCAATCATATCGGGTAAAAACAACACGCAGTCTACAAAGAATGAGGAAAAAGCATACGCAAGCGTTTTCCAACTTCTATGACCGAGGTTAGGTAAGGAGTTATCGTACAACAAGGGGACGATGGGGCACGACAAACATTGGGAGAGGGAATATACAAGTGTGATACTGACCATAGCGGCTATTTGGGAAGGCACGCTGGTAAACCTACGAAGAGAAGAACTTAGAGTGTAACTAGATTCCCAGATTCTGAGTGAGGGCATCGCAGCAGGTAGTTGCAACTGGTCATGGGTGAGCGCACACTGGCCAATCGTTAGGAATCCGGAAGACAAAGAAGCGATGTGACTACTCTAACGGTCGTCATTCGAATCGCAAGCCACATAATCGAGTCGAGTAGACACCGGAAAATATAAGTGTTGGAAAGATGACCAAAATGGACGACTTCGACACCAGAATCGCACAACGTAGACAACTTTCGACCACAATGAGCTGACCACAAAGAAAACGATAGTAAGGCCGAATGTAGGAGTACAGGATGGCTAAAAGGTGAGCTCTGAATAAATATGCACAGTAAAATCTCGGTAGGAGTGGGACTGAAGAACCTGGGCCGTGTCAAAGTGCTCCATTCCGCATTTGCCCGAGACGGTGTAACCAGCAAATATTTGAAGAACCATAGAAAACCCCTTATCATATACGATGCGCACCTCCAAAGACAGCCGAGCGACCATTAAGAAAGCGGAAGCTGGGGACGAGTTGCGTTGGATGTCAGTCAACTCACTAGCCGAGTGGTAAAATTCACGAGGCTTTAGTGGAAGTAAGCTCGTGACTTAGTGATGGATAAGATGCAATAGTGGAGGAAACGGGATTGAACAGTACCTCATCTATGAGCCTAAAACATACTTCGAATGCAAAGACCCAAACTGCAAGAGGTGGAATGTGCTCACGGGGAACATGGGACCACGATGCATCATAAGCTTACAAGACAATATAACAGGTACTGACATTCTTCTAGCTAATGACTTAAAACAGGTCGTGTAATCGGTTAGTGATTATGCAGTGTCTACGTTTCAATGACTCGTGGATGTAGATAGCAAATATCGAAGGCATTATGAAGAGATCGCCGAAATCTAAAACCGTGATTCGAATATGGTAGACAACGAAAGATACCCAAACCTCGTATGCAAGAAGCAGGCGCAGTGGTTTTGCGTGAAGGGGCTTCATACAGGAAAATGGGATGATGTCCCATCACTCAGATCCAGCAAATCACTCGTTCCAGAGACACACACACACAAACCATGCAACATTCGATTTACCTGGGTAGGATCGGTAGGCACCGGGGGAATTATCCAAAATAAATATGGAAGCCAAGTCGGAGGTGATGAGGGAGAGATTTTTGGAGTAACTCCCATTGTCGTATGTACAATGCTGGAAAAAGGAACAGTGATGGCGGAAAACATTAAAAGAAGACAAACAATAAACGATGACGAATAACGGTCTTGAAGAAGCAAAAAGAGAAATACGTATATTTCCGCCGCAACACCATCCAGATGGTGTTCGCTGCTCGTCAGTTGCACGAAAAATGCAGAGAGCGACACCAGCCATTGTACTCGCTGCTTGCAGGCTTTACCAAAGCACTTGACACGGTGAACCGCGAGGCACTGCGCCTTGAATAAGCTTGTCAGTTTAATGGAAGGCCTGCGATTGCGTGGACAAACCTCAGATGACTTTGCTATTGTCTCTAGTGTGAAGCAAGACTATCTTAGTCCATGCTCAACTTAATATTTACCTTTATTCAATTGTCTTTTTCTGTTGATGCTGCGTGTGATTAGATGGTGCGTGTAGAGCACCGTATTGATGGTGAGTTGCTAACCATTCGTGATTTCGGGACGAGAACCCATGTGTCAGACAACCATCTGTATGCATCCGTTTGCCGGCGACTGTGCGTTATTTGCACACCGCGCGGATGAGTCGCAGCACATTACCTCGGCTCTGGTTTCGACAGCGTCCCCGTGCGGATTAATCACAAACAGAAACAAGACTGTTTGTTGTTCTCAGTCTTCATCAGGAATGGAGTCCGTTGACCTGCCTTAAATTCAGGTTGCTCTAAATGACGCGTTGGAGACGACATCAAATTTTGCTACTTTGGGAACGAAATATTACCGACCTGCAGATGATGAGCGATCTGTGCATCCGTTTAAGTAAAGCAGCCGCTGCATTTGGAAGACTAGAATATTGTGTGTGGAGAGATCAACAGCTTACGGCTAAACCGAAAATGAATGTATACCGGTCGATTGCGCTGTCCGTTATTCTATACGGCAGCGAAACCTGGACTCCTTATCGGAAGCAGGTCCGATATCTGGACCGCTTCCATCGATGAATACTCGCCTTTTGTCTGGTGCTTCGATTCCTGGCACTACAGGAGCCGTTTGATCACACCCTTGTGAATACAACAGACTATCTAGTTCGGCGTGTGCGTACTTGTAGAATGACGAGTAAATTAACGGAGCTGACGGTCTAACATCGCATTTGAAGGGAATTTGCAAGGCTGAAATCAAACATCCATCAGATACCTTATCCAGCCTTAACTTGGTGAATACGTCATTCCAACCGGAAGCTGTTCTATCTCGATCGGATTCGACCTGTGCGGTTCGTAAGGCGGCCAAATGGTTGGAAACGACTATCTTCTACCTAACGATCACAACATACCCAGTTCATCCACTGTTAAGTACCTTGGTATGTATGTATCTCGTAATCTGTCTGGGTCAACACATGTTGACGAAACGTACCACGAGGTGATAGAATTATCATTCTATGTTCCGAGACTCAATATGCTTTCAGTATCCCCCTATTCAGTTTATGAATTCTTTTGTTATATTTTCCTGGTCCTCTAGAAAAAACACTTCACTTTGAGTGTGCGTTCCATTAAGCTTATTTGCAACTGTAGTGGATTGTATGAGAGTCTCTGGTTGAGTCCACCGTTACTAAGTACTTTGGTGCATGTGAAAACATTTCAGCAAAGGTTGTAAGTGACCTTTTTCACTCTCTTCAAGCTGATTTTTCTGAAACCCTTTCCTGTTCGTGAACCCGCTCTAAATTTAGGGTTTTTCTTGCACAACGCGTCATGACATCTCTATTTTACCGTATGTATCCCGCTTTCTGGTGGACCTTAGCCACCGCTCGTTCATTTGCGTAATGCCCCTGTGCACGCTTGCATTGAACAATGGTGTGTGTGTGGAAGCGAGCGTGACATCCTTGCGGTCATTCTTTCGTAGAGATTGGGAACCTTGCACATTTACGCACTGAACAATGAACGCTGTGCTAAGCGTTGCTCGCGGATCTCAGTAGCGTACTGTTCAGGGCCTCAGCCGTGAACTACTAGGATCTGCATTCCACCCCAGCTCAGCCTATCGCTATCTGATGAGTCCAAACCAGGACGAAACCGTGGTCGTGGTGTACCAGTGTTGGGAGGAGCAACACCGAAATATTTCCATTTCGTATCTGGTCGTCGCGTCCGGAATGACCGAGATCTCAATATAGGGTGCGTGTCACAACCCAACGACATTGCGGTTTCCCCAAATATAACTTTGTATAAACAATGATTCCATAGAATTAAGAAGCAATGCATTACAAGCTCCGTCGGGCAGTCTCTTGGATTATCAAAAAAGGTTAATAAAAAATGCGGTTATTCTTTCTACTGTCAAATGAACGGACTTATGGTATGCAATGCAGTAGCCATGTACTCCAAGTGTTTCCATACCTTCAATAGGCGAAAAAAATTCAAAGTTTTTTTCTGGGAGTTGGATGGAGAGTATCGCCAATTAACAAAATATTAGTGATGGAGTGCATTCCATGGTTGACACACAAGAATAGAAAACAAATTTCTACGGTACACTAAACTGCCGCACTCTTCTACCCGTGACATGTCGATAGATGCAAAGAAACAACTACCTGTACTGAGCGTACTATGCTCCAATCTCCGGGAATCAAAGTGGACTTTAATAAACGCAGGCACTTAGACCACCTCAACCAATGGACTTCATTATTAAACTAATCAGAGTTGTATTGAAATCCCTACACGTACTGCGACTCACGCGGCATCCAAACGTTAAGCAGCACGGAGCGTCAAGTAATCCGCGCGTTATGCTTAACTGCATCATCGAAGTAAGATCAATTCTACAGTCTACACTGCTCCACGAGTGTTTTTCCAGACATCTCATGGAGCGAGCGCAATCGAATTAACCGCAACTTAGAGGACTACCGGAAGGAAACTTTAAATAATACGGTTCTTATTCTTGGCGTTGCTGAAACTGATGCATGCACGGAATATGAAATAACAACCAAGGACAAAGAACCATGGTGTTATATTCTTGAATCAATCTCATTGAAAGATGTGCTAGTGAAATCGGTGTTACTTCTGCGTACCTCATCGAAATACAAAGGATGTGACCCGAGCGGATTGTAGTCGGTCCTACATTCAAAACACATAGTAACACGACTGCAAATATGCTGGTACATGTTTCGTTGCAGTCTGCCATTTGAGCATCGGCTGAAGACAGTCGGCTTTATACTCCTTAGATATGATACGTCAAGCAACGAAGCAAACGCAGTGGGAACTATAAAAGGGCAATGCTCCGTTAGTGTGTCTGATGAGCACTCACAATCTGTTGAAGAAGACTGTGACCAGCCAACTAGCGATATACGTGGACGATTAGATCCGGGACCAACTACGCAGACGATGAACATGACGTCGAACACTTCGTCAAGTGCACACCAAAAAAACGATTAGTCGTCTACCAATCACTGGTCGGTGAAACTTCGCGCATGAGTTGTTAAACCTCCGACAATATGCTTAAATCTGAGAAACTTTCATGTATGTACACCAATGCCCAACGTAGCCTCATAAAACTTATCGAACATCCGCTACATTATGTCACAATTGCTTGAAACCTTACTTCAAGTACTGAAATTTGGTTGCACTAAGAAGTGGCTGATGCCGAGTTTGAGATAGCACGAATGTCACTCATCCGGAACGATCGTCCCAGCAGAGAAGGTGGGGTTTTTCTGTACTACCGCAGCGACCTGCAAGGTGCCATAGTTGATGATCTGGATATTCGTGTTACCGACTCACTCTGGTGCCATATCCAACTAAGACATGAGGACGCATATCTCGTAGCTGTCCTTTACCGACCCCCGAACGTCCACACTGGAAATGGATTCCTGCTTGCAAAATGCTTCGAACGTGGTAACACAGCTTAGGAACAGCCACATTCTCATCGCTGGTTAATACATAGGAAGAAATTCAGGCAAAGCACGCGCGCTGACTGCAGTAAGGCATGAGCAAGATACCGTAGGGAAAAAATGTATCGGGCGAAGCGGTGCGACCTGGCTCACATTGTAGCGAGAATGACACTACAGGGGGTTAGACGTTTATTGCACACCGAAAATGGGCACACAGGGTCTCACGCGCGCCATCGAATATCGACCAGATTTCTGTCCCACAACGCAACACAGGTACGGATGTTAGAAACTAGCCAGTCATTCGCTTCGAGAGCTCTGACTTGGAAGACCCGCCTTCCTGTTTTCGCCTCGATCTCCACTTCTGTGTACCCGATTTGGATCGGCCAGAAGTCGTTCGAGAGCTCTCGACTTGCTTGTTCTGGGCTGTGTCAACCGGCTCGGCCTCGGTCCTGTGGGCTGCGCTAGCGGCGTATATGTCTGATTTATTGCGCTCTCCACATATTCTCGCTCCGTAGTTCCGGGCCTAAGCTCGTCGCTAGCCGTCTATCTCGATCCGCTCTCAGCTAGCTTTGAAGAGCTCCCCCGAGGCATTCTTTGAAGCGGCCCCTCAACAATAGGATTGTCGGCTGATTTCGTGGAACACAAAAAACTCGCCAAAATCCTTCTGCTCATAAGTAATACAAATGCGCTCTTACCGATTTCATACAAAATGCCATATCGATTCGCAGCTGCCGTAACCGGGATCCCCTGATGCCTGAAGGAGAACCGCTATCATCTGCATGGCAGTGGAGAATGGGTCGGGCTATATCGCAGTTAGCTAACAATTCATGATGTTCGGCTACCGTCTTTCATGGCTCAGTGGCATAAGCAGCGGGCTAGTTGGCGCAAGCCACTAGTAGTCACGCGTTCGATCCTCGGAACACGACCGAAGGACGTGCTCAACTAAGAAGACTCAGCAGAGGAAAACGGCCATTTAGTGTTTTCCCAGATTGGTAGCTGATGTATCTGAATTATCAGCTGATAACGACGAACACAAAAAAACGAAGGTTTATTGAAGCAAAATAGGAGAGATTGAGAGAAGTTTGCGGTGGAAAACAGTAAGATGAAAGTGAAGTTGTAATGGGACGATACGGATGAGCAGTAGCATCCTCACTCCTATCCACCCTGCTCTACGCAGCAAATAGGGT